ATAAGGTCCATTGTTTACCAGGGGTGTAAATCACCAGCTTTATCACAATACAATCTTATTTTGATTTGTTTGAATGACGATATGTTTCTCCAAATAATAAAATCTGTCACATGATTTCAATTAAATTAAATTCACAAGTCTGCAATCAATATTATGTGATATTATYTGCACATTTAACACAATTAATTGTGTTAGATGAGTGTTTGACATTGATCCACATAAGACATGGATTGTTGTTTTTCTTTTGCCTCAGTTGAATCATTAATCATTTAATTGATATATACTATGTGGATCGAAGTATTGCTACAACCCTATTGTTTACTCTGACTTTTTATCTAAGTAGTGCATATGTTTTTTAAATTAATCAAACCTACCTTTGTTGTCTTTTAGATGTATATTTCATTGTCCTTTTGATTGAATTTATATTTTAGGTGGTATAGTTATCTGCCTTGACTGCAAATCACTTTTGTCAACCTCAGTCTTTTTATAAATAAAACTGGAATGATATTAAAGGTTGTTAAAAGAACTGAGGATAACAAACACGTTAAAGCGTCCTGATCTTTACTTTTATGACTAACAACGAAGACATTTAAAAGTACAAGAGTTTGGTTTAATATTATGTTTGAATTAACTCTATTGCTGGTTTAATTTGTTTATAATCAGACAGCAAAGAGTAAATATAATAGCCTACTATGTGTGGTAGTAATAAGTCAGCTAGAAGGAAATCGAGTAACTTTTTCCACTTCGGCGTTAGCCAACAAGCTAACAGGTTAGCTTCCGAAATGATTAAAAATCTTCTACAAACTTCAACAACGTCACGTGCTGCTTACGCAAAATGCTAAATACAGTTATCTTAAAATGCTGATAAAACATACAAATCAAACAAGAATTTGGTTGTTTTATATTTGATACTTCTAACAGGATTTACCTTCCCAGTAGTTACTGCTGGTTGTCATGGTTGTTGTTGACATGTCATCACCAGCCGTCAAACAGAAAAAAGTGTCGCACTTTTCCCCATTACCCCACAGCACCCTCTGATGGTAACAATCAGCTACAGCACCCCCGTTTTACATTATGTTACACCTGCTGCATTTTTCAGGGTTTTATTTTTCTAATAAAATAAAAGCTTTTTACTTGTTTTAAAAGCTACTTTAAAACAAAATTAAATTATAATTGTAAATGCTACAATAGATACACTTAGATGTCGTTCATATTCAGTAAAACTGAAAAATAAAACTGCCCACACTTTATTATTA